TCCAAAGAGGCAAATTCTATTGTTTTTAAAAGGAACGTTTGCGAATGTCTTTGTTTCACATATCTCGATAAGAAACGGTGATATCGCCTCAAAACCAATTTCATTTGAAGCCTAATAATAATAACGACTAGACCTAATATCGGTCATGCGGCCATTCTCATTGGAGACTATAATAGGAGATTATAGCTATCCTGATAGTATGGAGTGTAGAAGTAAGAAGTACAGACTGTGTATTAAAAAGTATCCATAGAAAATCGTTAAATAAGGGTGGCGCCACTATAGCTACGGGGTAAATTTTAAAGAACGCACCGAAAAATATTGGTGGGATAGACGACTTTTTCGAGGTTATATTTACTATATAAAATTATTTTAGATTTTATAGCTAATGAGCAGTTTAGCAGCACACTTCAAACCGTCGAAACTGCTAAGTTCATTTCAGCCCAGTAGCTACTCCAGCGCTGCTGTGGAGTTTTAGAACAGTTATTTACTGCTTACAGATGACCACTTTTTCAACTATTCTACTATGAGAGTTGCTACTCCTTACTTTTACACTTCATACTGGATAGGACAGGATATAAGGGTGCGATGTTTTAAATTAAGATTGTTGACTTGGATGCTTGTCATTTAAGCCATGTCTTTATTTCATTTGGGATCTCCGTTTTATAGTTTTTAGAAATTGACAAAGTTCTACCGAAATCTTGTGAACGGTATGGCAGCGCATTAAATACGAAGAAACAAACATTAATTTTTATATATTAGATGAAATTGAGCTTTACTTATAACTTTTGGTCAGATAATCGGACGCTTATTTACCTAAAGTTTACATTTTTAGCATTAAAGATTAATATCGAATATGAACTTCTAAATCAAATTTAACTAATTAAATCCTACGACCACGGGATTGACTAATATTTCGTACATATACTAAACTAAAATTAATTACAAGACTAAGTATAATACTTGAACTAATAGATGTCCTGCAAAGAGTGAGTGATATTGCAATAATATTACCATACACATACAACAACATAACTAGACGAAACGGCAGAGATGACTTCATTGTGAGCGGGGGATGAAGTAGGGAGCTGGGCGGTGGGATGAAGAGGGCGTTAGAACCCCGCGCAAACACACTGTTTTTTCTTACCCGCCCGACCTTCATTCGTCGCTTATCTGTCTATTAATGCATTCGGGTGTTGTATTTTGTGGCTCTACATTTTATAACGACTTGGCTTTCCAACGGTTCTTGACTTGCATAGTGATCTGGATAACTGCATTGCTTGGAACGACAAGTTTAGCTACGACTCACGGATTCAGTCACTGCCTGCAAGTTGGCTTGCAACATTTGTTTTTTTACAAGGCAAGTAAGGAATTTTTACTCGTCTTATTTTTATGATATAACAGGAACAGCAATGACACTGATATGGATGGCTTCTGAAAGTGTACACACACTATCCAATCTCAAATATTAAAATATGTATGGCATATGTTGATTTATAGTTATTGTTTTATTATATTATGGCTTGGAGCTACAATTACAAAATAGTTTTATAAAAAAATGTCATTCACAAGCTGAGTATTATATTTGATTTTAATTGAAAATGGGTGTTTTTATATAATAATCACGAAAATTTAACCAATAGTGGGGGACAGCGGAATTTTTTTTGGTTTCGATATCCACCACTGAGGGATAAAGTAACTTATTTCTCCCTAGTGTCCACCAGTAGGGACTAACAGGAAAATTGGCGGATATAGCAACTTTCTTCCGATGTCCGTCAGTGGTGGACAGCGAGAATAGACGAACAAGTTCTCATATAAATTTTCTTTGTAAATTGTATGACTATAATGAAATAAAAAAAATCTTTAAGTACTAAAGAATTCAATGAAATATCAAATTTACAATTGGTCCTATGAAATATTTACACGCAGGGAACATTTTCATTAATACCAGGACATTAAAGCAATCTCGCATGCGGGATTCAAAAAGGCATGTCCATAATAATCTATCTTTAATGCCAAAAATGTAGTTTAATAAGCGCCCGATTATCCGATCACTGCTTATAACTATTATATTTACATTATTATAATCATAATCTTTCTTTGTATTAATTTGTAAATCGTTATTAATAAATCCTTATTTAAAAAGCCATTCTAAAAAAATGGTAAGGAAATAAATTGTGAAGAAAAAAAAAGCAATGAAGAAATAATTCACAAAATTATGAAAATAGCCAAACGTAGATATTTTATAAACATTATTTATAAAATCTATTAGGAATCACTTATTACTTGTTTTCGTATAATACGTACCACAGTTACGAACACTTACATACTAAAAATCTTAAAAGTATTGTATGACTACATTAAAATTCTTTAAAACTACATACTTACAAGGCAATAAAATAATGAATATATTAAATTTTGTAATAAATAGTAAATATATTTATACTATGAACTAAACTAAAACGACAGATCTTTCTTAAATCAAAATCATGGAATAGTTTCAAATAAGTACAACAAAATACAACTGCGACTTCGCGGTGCATCGCCACGATCTGCGATGTCGCCCGACGTCTCGCATCCCTACGGTGTGACGTCACACTTCTCAATTTTTACATTAACAATGGGTGCGTTTGGCAGAAAAAAGCGCTAGCAAGCGCTTGTAAGCAAAATGGCGATCGTAAGCGGTAAGCGCTGTCAAATCGTAAGTAGCTATTTTCCTCTAGGACACGAAGTTAGTTTTAACCGGGGAACCTAACCTAATTTGAATATATATTTGTAAAGTATTCATATTAAAAACTTACCAATCATGAATTTTTAATAACATGTATATCTCTATTCATGTCATTATATTACTTAAAACTAATATTGCACAAAACAACTTATAAGATACTTCAAAACAAACAAATTAAATAAGCAAAATGGCGGATTGTGTCAGCGCTACTGAAGTTAACAAACGTGTCCTGGCCGAAATCTGTTTAGTGTCGCTTAATTTTGCTTACAAGCGCTTGCTAGCGCTTTTTTCTGCCAAACGCACCCAATAAGTATTCGAGACTTATATAAATGTCATGGTTTGACGATGATTTCGTTAATTGATAAACCGTCATCATATTCCTTTCCAAAAAATAACCGTTCTTAGAAAAAGGAAAAGGTATTACAAAATTAAAATAGAAAATTAAAATTAAACAAACAACTAATGCCTAAATACTCAAACGCTGTTAAATTTTAAGATTCCGTTAAGTGTCGTGCTGTCTTTATTGCTTTAAGTCGAAGTGACAGTGACACCACAAGACTTAACGACATTTTGGGCATGTTCCGAGATACACTGTGACCACTGTAAGGTTCTTTTTAGTTTGCTATACTGGTTACTGTTTAAAACGGAACGCAGTCCATTATACTGTCATCCCCATTTTTCAACAGTTTTCAAGTGAAAATATTTATCATGTACACGTTTTCTGTTCAACAAGAAAAATTATTATTTGAATGTTATTGCTTTTAAAACTTAATGTCCGAGTTTATTTGAATAACAATATTAATAATAATAATAATCATTCATAGAAGTTGCTAAATCTCTAGGCACTTGTTTTTTGATCACGTGATTAAATTACTGACAGCACCTTACCTCAAAAGCGCCAGTGTTCAGTACTAAAATGGCGGCGTTTTATGACGTCATATATTTCCCTATGGTACTGCAACACTCAGCAGTGCTCACTGTGTATATCGGAAAATGGCCTTTAAAATGGAGTAGCATTTGAGTATGTGGCCATGTCTTGTTAAAAAAATAGTTTAACTCAGTGATCAAAAAGGCAGTATTAATTCAGAATATTTTCTATTGTTCCCTGTGATATATTCCTTCTTAATAATCTATTATTGTAACCTGTCTGTGTGTTCTAACACACAGACAGGTTCTCAATAGCAAGAAACGCAGTACGGTTCAAATATAAATGGATACACAAGCTATGGACCGGACAGGGCTCTGAAAAGCAAAATCACGATTTTGCATATGTAATTGAATTCGAGTTGTATTACATAGCTATTTGAAATGCCGACTATTTTGTATGCGGTGAGGTTGCAGCGTTTCAAATAATCAATATTTCTTTATCATAATATAATCAATATATAATTATATTATATTCAATTTCAAATACCCCCTTTTCTTCTAGATACGTTAAAAATAAATAATGGCAACGCTCAGAGAAATATTGGGACCTCACATCGACCACACATGACCATCAAGTGTCATTAAATATGGTGTATACCTTAGAGCATCATCATTTAAACTTTTCTATGACTTGTTAGACTTACTCCTTTTCAAACTACAAGTCCTTGGCAAAAGGACTTATAGTTTGCAATTTCACCTTAAACACTTGCCTATTTTTAAGGTGAAATTAGAAAGTTGCTTTGCGTATATTAAACCTAGTTTATGAATTACGGAGAATTGACCGTAACTTAGTGCGCAATGTATTAAGGCTGCAGAGCCTGTCTAGTAATATACATAGAAAATTTTGACTTTTTATAGATTGTAGTGATGATTATGATAATTATAATGATAATGATGGTGATAGTGATGATGATGATGATTATTATTATGAATTAAAGTCGTAAATAAAGTAGAGTGTCAACGTACCAACGTACATGCTGAGCAAAATTCTCCTCTCATTTTCGAAAGAGTTACGGACCAATTAGTCAGTCGCACAGCTCAATTTGGCGAACTTACTACTCACAATATTTTATTTCTTACACATGCAGGTTTCCTCGCGATTATTTCCTTCACCGCCGAGCACGTGGTAATACTAGCATAATATTAATAACTTCTTCGGCGGCCGGGTAAAACGGGTTGGCTGTGTACTGTGAAATTTACAGCGAGCACTTACCCTCTGCGCCGTGGCCCTTATGCCGTAGTAATAAGACCCAAATTGTCAATGGCAACCGCTTCTGAATAATGCCATTCGTTAAGCAACGCTTTAAACACTTATTACTTATGAGTGCCAACTTACCGTATATTTTTAAATGAATTTTACTTCTATATAATTTCCCATTACACACATCTTGTTGAAATGCTCTGAGTAATGTAGTTCAGAAAATTATATATATAGGAAAACCTTAAAAACTATATATGTAGAATAATAAATATTTTCCAACGTAAATATTCAGAAATGTTCAGCGGTGAACCTTGATAGGCTATAATGAACGAAAAATGGAACCCCTCAAAACCTGTAACCCCTCAAAATCTCAAAACAGTGGGTCCACTAAAACAAAATGAAACCAGACACAGTGTCAGACCATTGTCTTTAAAGACTAGTGCAGACCGAAGACGTATATAATAAGACATGAAAGAAAAAGTACGGACTTTTTTTTTCCCTTTCTTGGCCTGCACGGTTTGTGCGTCAGCCATGCAAGAAGGTTAGGAAGTAAGATTTATTTTATTGAATTGGAAGTTGGAACGGAATTTGAAAAAGGATCAGGTAAATTTAGTATATAAGTACATAAATGATTATAATTTTATATTGTTATGAAAAATGAAACTGGCTAAAATTCTATATACATCAATATTTACATAAGATAAAAGGACAGAAATTGAAGTAGGAAAAGGAATTTTAATGGACAAAAGCGAGGAAATAAAAGCGGAACGGTCAAGTCGAGGACAAGCAAAAAATATATGGTTAAAATCCCCAACGTCATTGCCACACTCACATATATCGCTAGGCAAAAGTTTAAGTCGTGCCAAATGCAAGGGAATGCATGCATGGCCCAGCCTCATACGAATAAGGGTCGAAGTGATAGCTTTACCAAACGTCAGATTTGAAAACCACGGTTTATGAGGTATATCCACCTGGATCGTGCTATAATATCGACCTATAGTCTGACTTGAAGAACGCCAAATATGTGTCCAAGAATTCAATAACTGGGATTTAGGAAGGAGAGCCAAATCACAACAAAAGTTTTTGTACGGAACTAGATCTCCGTCATTGACTGCAGCTTTGGCAAGGCTATCGGCCTTGGTATTGCCAAAGATACCTGAATGCCGCGGAATCCAAGCAAAGAAAACTGTGTAATTTTTGATGTAACATTGATACAATAAATCACGACATGCAATAATAACTGGATGATTGTTTCTGTTATTGCTAAAAGGAAATCTTTCCAAGGCTTGTAAGGCACTTTTAGCATCGGTAAAAATTATTGAGTTTTTTAACTTCATGATTAAAATGTACTCCAGAGACTTCAACAGACCAAAACATTCTCCAGTAAATACTGAAGTCTCTGGAGGCAATTTTATTTTCTGTACAATGCCAAACTGTTGATGGAAAACACCAACTCCCACACACTTCTCGGAACTGGGTTTGGAAGAATCACTAAAAATTAAATGGCAATGTTTCCATCGGCTGTCACTGTCAACTATATTAATAAATTTGACGTTGGCAGAAGTATCTTGTTTACATACACCGAAATCAAACAAAATAGATGGTTTTAAAATTAAGGCATCATAGTTAACACAAAATATAGGTAGGAATTGTGATCTATGTGTTGGAGCTTGAAGAGCTAAGAATTTTTGGAGACTAACAATAAGGCATGGCGACGATTTATGAGCCCAGTACGGATAATCCATACATTCCAACAGAGACCGTAACTTAGAGTAAAGAGGATGATTATAGACTTGGAATGCTCTAAATAGGAACCTGTCACAAAGAAATTGTCGTCCGAGATGCAGGGGCGCTTCAGAACATTCAACCTGCAAAGCGTTAATAGGGCTCGAACGCATAGCCCCAGCAATTATTCTCAGAGCCTTAGACTGGATAATGTCTAATTTATGGAGAGCTACTGCATTACAGGGTTCAAGAATAAATGTTCCATAGTCTAAAATACTCCTTATAAGGGCATTATATAGAAGCTTTAGAGAGAAAGGGTGGGCTCCCCACCAAACTCCAGAGAGGCAGCGCTGTATATTTAGAATCTTCTCACATTTGGCACTTATATAGTAGCAATGAGGGATGCCTGTAAGTCTCGAGTCTAAAATTACTCCAAGAAATGTTGCTTCGCTTTTAACGGGAACTCTAATGTTATTATAAAGTACAGACACTGGAGGTGGAACCCTCATACGAGAAAATAAGACTATACTACTTTTAGAAACTGAAAGGCTGAGACAGTTATTGTCAAGCCAAACTTTTAGTAACTTAAGGGAATATGTCATAGTATCAGACATGTTGTGAACAGAATCACCAGAGACATAGAGGAGTAAATCATCTGCATATTGGAGAGTGCTAACTTTACCCTTAAGGGAGGCTTCCAGATCATGAGAATATATATTGTAAATTAAGGGACTTAAAACTGAGCCCTGGGGTATACCTTTCCAGGCAATACGGGATTGGTAAGAGTCTTCTGATATTACTTTAAGCATTCTACCAGAGAGAAGGTTGATTGTAAATCTTATAAAAATTTGTGGGATATCCAAATTAATCATTTTTTGTTTCAGAATTGAAAGGTTGACATTATCATAGGCTGCAGATACATCTAAAAATGCTGCTAACACAGAGTTATTGTGCGAAAATGCCAATCTTAAGTCTGTCATAAAAATGCTGAGACTATCCATTGTACTCCTACCTTTCCTAAATCCAAACTGGTTTGGAGATAGTAACCCCTTACTCTCAATAAACCATTCTAACCTATTTTTAACTAAATGTTCAGAAATTTTGGAAATAACTGAAGCTAATGCAATTGGTCTGTAAGATGATGGATCATTAAACGGTTTGTCTGGCTTATGTATTGGGATAATTTCATGAATTTTCCATGATGGAGGAATATTACCTGTTATTAAAATTGAATTAATTAAACTAAGAAAATAAGAAAGGCAGGAGTCGTTCAGGTTTTGAAGAAAAAAATATGGGATTCCATCACAACCTGGGGCTGAATCCCTAAGTTTTGAAAGAACCCCTTTGAGTTCTGAAAGGCTAAAGAAAATGAATGAATCGCTACTATCATGCTGGGAGAGGAGAGAAGACTGTAGGTCAGAAGAAATATTATCTATAGATGGGACAAATGGTGGGGCTAATTTGTCAAGAAACAAATCAACTGTACGGCTATCCATAAAAGGAAACCTTGGAGGCTTAAAAGCGGATCTGAATCTACGAATATTTTGCCAGACTTCAGATGGAGAAATGTGTGGTGAAATTGAGGCACAAAAAGATTTCCAGCCATTAAATCTTTTTTGTTTTAATAATTTACGTGTTTTAGTTATAAGGTTACAAAGAATATTAAAATTTTGTGTTGTAGAATTTTTTCTGTAATTTTTTTCAGCTATCTTTCTCTCAGCTATCGCAGCAGAACACTCACTGTCCCACCATGGAGGTGATGGAATATACCCATTGCCACTATTATTTTTAATAGGAAAAACTTCCTCAGCAGCCTGTAGTAGGGCCCGTGTAAAAGCTTCAGCACAAAGATGATTATTGTTGTCATTTAGTGGAGGTATAGTTGATAAATTTTGTTGAACTTTATCTCTATATAATGACCAGTTGGCATCGTTAAGTTTATATTTTAGCCGGGGGAGGAGCCTTATACATCTTTTCGCCAATTTTTTGAGGAAATGATATAATTAACGGAAAGTGATCACTTCCATATGACGACGATAGAGGCCACCAGTTTAATGTAGGAGCTAGGGAGGGACTACACAGGGTAAGGTCTGGTGCACTAATACCCTCATGGGGCCGAGTCCTTCTAGTAGGACAACCATAGTTTAGAAGGCATAAATTATTATCATCTAAGATGTCTAACATTCTAGCCCCATAATGGTCAGACTTAGAACTTCCCCACATAGAATGTTGTGCATTGAAGTCTCCCATGACCAATATAGGGCGTGGGAGGGAAGATAGAATGCTACGAATATCGTCAAAGACTTCAGTGGAAGGGTGAGGTATATACATATTTACAAAACAAATATTATTTACACTAACAGCAATAATTGAAAATTTATTACTGTGATTAGGTATGGGTATGTGGACAAAGGGCACACCGCCCTTCAGAATTAGTGCAACTCCTCCATACCCATCTGTTCTGTCTTCTCTAAGACAGATATGTCCTGGAATTCTAAAGTTGAATCCGGGACGAAGCCAAGTCTCTTGAAGAGAGACTGCAAATGGTTTGTAACTATTCAATAAGAAAATTAGGTCACTTTTTTTTGCTATTAATACTCCGGCAATTCCATTGAATCACCAGAGACTGGTTTCGTGGATGGTCCTGACTGTCCATGAGTTAAAAAACTTTTTGAAGAAGCAGCATCGTTGGACGGTATTTTAATTAGGTTATGTTGTGAAAGGTACTGAATTATAGAAATGATGAGATCCTTTGTTATTATTTCTGATAGATCTTTGTAATTTTTGAGACAACCTGTAGAAGAGGAAGGAATGTTGCTGTAATCTTGGATAAGCTCTGCATGCGCTTTTTGATCATATCCCTTACTAGTATTTCTGGGACGAGCTTTGGGTTTCGAGAATACTGTTTTCCTATATGACTGTGTGTGACTCTTAGAAGGGCTTGTTGAATTATAGGGGCTGGAATAAGTAATAGTTCGACCAGAAGGGGCCAATGAAGCAGAAGCAATAACGTCAGCATAAGATTTCGAAACTGGTGGGTGGATTTTACTGGCTTCTGAATAAGATATAGAGTTTCTAGCCATTGTTTCTTTTATAGCTTTTTGCCTAGCGTACTCCGGACACTTTTTGTCTGTGGCGAAATGGGAACCAGAACATAAGATACACACAGCATCATCTCTTTCAGTCTCGCAGCTTATACCTGAATGGTTGTCTCCACATTTGTAACACCTTGGAGAGCCTCTGCATTGCATTTTGGTGTGACCAAAACGACAGCAATTAAAGCATTGCAGCGTGGGGTAAATATAAAGCTTTACAGATAGGGAGTTGAAACATATAAAGACCCTGGGAGGTAGCACCTTCCCATCAAAGGTTAAAACTACAGTCTCAGTTGGAATGAACTTGGGCGTTTCGCCGTCATATACCTTTCTGTTTAATCTCCGAACTTTCAAAATACTTCCACAGTTCTGCGGAAGGTCTATATTTTCCATTATATCTTTCTCATCCCAATCACATAGAACACCTCTCACTATTCCCATGCGTGTGATAGTGAAGGCTGGAATAAATGCTTTGTATTTATTAACATCAAGAGATTTGCGATTTAGAAATGTGTTAGCATCCTGAAATGTTTCAAATTGTAAATACAATCTGTTTCTTCCAATTTTTTTGATGCTTCCCTCTACAATGCTTTTTATTAAATTTTTTTTAAGGAATAATCCAAATTGTACTGGGTGAATAGATCCAGTTTGATTTGGTTGTAAGATTTTTTGGACATGGACAACATAAGGCGCAGGATCTGACGCCTGGTAAAGCAACCTAGCAGCGCGGGGGTTACTTGTAATATTGTTAGAGTGAGTGTCATCATTATGGTGAATTTCAGTGTTTTTATCATCAGAATCAAGCAATTTAGTAATAACATTATCCTTTAAATCGTTAGGGGAAAGTTGGCAGTCTAATAGACCCATTTGTCTGTGATTCCTTCTCTTCTTTTGGTTTCTAGCTGAAATTCTCTTTCTTTTCACCGATTTCGTGTTTTCCGAACAGTCTGTATCTATAATTGAACCTTCCGTTTCCATTCCCGACGCATCGATTGTGACTACATGAGACACTTGGAGGGATGTCCCTCCAGGGTCTTCGGGCTCCAACATGGACGCCAAGAGAAAAATCCTATTTACATATAATACAATAAAATGATTTACCAGATGAAGAAATCAAGCTAAAACTATAAATAATCAACAATAACTACTAATATATATACTTTACAACTTAACTGATCCTGTAATATCAATTTAATTTAATTTTCAAAAGTTTAGCCAAAAAAGGACGCCCGCCTACTTCAGAACTTCCCGCGCTTCCCAAGTACGGACTTAAAACCATGTTCATCGTACGAAATGCAATACTCGTGAAACGATTTTTTTTTATATATAGAATAAGGATGACAATCGAGTATACAGTCCACCTGATTGTAAGTGGATGCTGTGGCCCATAGACATCTACCTTTATCCTCAATTAAGAATCAAAACGCAGATGCGTTGTCACCGCTGAGGAGTAAGATGGAATGCCTTGTTTCCAGTAAAAAAGGTCTCCGGATCTCTACACTCACCATACGAAACACAGCAGCAGTGGTCGAGTCAACCCATTCGAGGCACAACCATAATATAACTGCAGCGTGGCTCTACCACGTATAATATTTTGGTTTGACGCCTCCTATACACTATATTATAAATACATCACAACTGGTTTTGTATTGCATACACACCCGTTTTGAATAAACCTATAAACACATTTCCAACGTTTGTGGTGTTGGTGATCCTAAAAATAGATAAAAAAGCATCATTTCTATTCATTGGTGTTTTTTTCCTAATTTTAATGTACTTTTCTTCACTTATTAGTGCAGAATAAAAATAAAAATTTATTTTTAATAAGAAAGGAAAGCGTGACCTTGACAAGTCGACAGTAAATCCTAACCTCTATGCTTCGCGGTCGAGTTGAGTAGTAAAATTAAAATAAACCTTAAGGTGTCAATGATAAACATAGTAAATCAATAGAACTTTTAAAGGATACGGTAACATCGCTCGGCATGAGCAGGGCTAGCGAAGCGGACTACCGCGCAGCCGGTAGTCGTCAGTTCTAGTGATAGCACTTGGCCCACTTGCGCTAATTTCTCCGACAGGAGGGGAAAAGTTGTTGATAGGGGAAGCTGAAAAAACATCGGTCATTTCATGTATAGTACAATTTACACATTACAGTTTACAGTACATTAAGTCAGACCAACGAATAAAGACAGAAGGAGCGCTGCGTATGATGAACCAAATGATGCCCCAAGCCATGAAGGTTAAAGAACAGGAGAACGATCACTACGTACTAAAGCATAGCCCGCCTGTCCCTGAAAATTGTAGAATTTATAGCGACGCTGACGTCGGTGAGTAGACTGCGAAGTTAGCTCTTTATGAGTACAAGTAGATGAAGTTAGTTGAATAATGTACAAATTTTCTCCGCGGCATTGGTGAGAAAATTTTCATGCTCCGTATTTTGTAATTTTTGACAAAAAGAAACATAAAAAAAATTGAGAAATATTTTATTGTGCGTGGATGTGCAAGTGGTTTAGCATTTGATCAGAAAAATAGACTGAAAATGACATTTATTGAGCGAACTTAGCGATCGCAGCGCCTCACTTATGGTTTCCATATTTCTGGGACGCTATTTCCTACGGCGATCGTTCTCCTGTTCTCTAACCTTCACGCCCCCAAGCCATGCTCAAATTCTTGACACGCACACGCGCATACATCTATTTTTTGTCTTCTTTTCGAGCCTGTATAAGTTCACTGCTGTATGCACGCACACATATGCATCTAAAACCATGTTGTTAGTTACAAATTACTTTAATTGAAGTGTACGCAAGTGCGTGTCCTTACATTCAGTTGAGCGTGGTATTGTTTGGTTTTTGCAGACCTAGAAATGTACGCAGCGCTTAGTTGCTCTTTCTTTGTTGGTCTGAGGCTACTTAATTATTCTCCTTCTAGATCTATATAGCTGGTGTCTCGGAATGCCTATGTTTTACCGCTGTCGGTAAAACAGCACTCATCAAAGTATTTTGTCGCTAAAAATTTACGGAGCTATACTTCGCTCCTTATAACACCGCAAATACATTACCCAGAATGGTATTTTAACTTGGTGGCTTATGTGAAGAAAAGCCTAACCGGCATTTGTATCTCGAACGGTGTACCAAAAAATATCCATCTGTAATATTGTCGTAGCATAACAGTTTTAAAGGTGATTCTAATTTATTTCTTTTCTACTAAATGGTGGGACTATTTTTCTGCCTAAGAGTTCTTCTCGGTTTGTTATTTCGACTGCTGGATCCTGGTCTGAAGGGCATAAAGAACCAATATAATTATAGGACATCTGTGTGAACCACTGCGTTACAGCGTATAAGAATTGAGAGGTTACAAGATGAAGATGTGAAAGACAAGTACAAATGCAGACTGAGAGAAAATATAAGTAATTTGGATGAGTTGTGTGTGAATGAGTTAGACTTGGAGAATGTGTGGCATAATGTTAAGAAAGGTTTAGTGGATGCAGCTACCGAAGTATATGGTGTTAGTAAGAGAACGAATGAAAGGAGACAATACGTTATGGTGGGATGATGAGGTACGTATGGAAGTTGAAGCAAAGAAGAGAGCATGGCTAGATTTACTAGCGACCAAAGCTGGTAATTCTGGCGGTAAGAATGATGAGAATGAAAGAAAAAAGGCAGAGTTTAAACGTTTAAATAAGAGAGTAAAAGAATTAGTTGAAAGGAAAAAGCAAGAAAGAACGGATAGGATTGATAGAAGAATATCGGATAAGTTCCAGGCAAATATTAAAATGTTCTGGAAACTCGTAAGAAATACCAGGGGGACTTTCAAAACAGCCTAGATTGAATGCGATACGAGACGAGAATGGCTGTATCCTGAATGATGAAGTGAGTCTAAAGAGATGGAAGGAATATTTTGAAAGCGAATTTATGAGTGAGGAGAAGTGTGAACTAAATGAAATAGAAATTCGGAAAGAAGATGAAAGAGATAGGGAGATAAGTATAGATGAAATAATGAAAGTAATGAAAAGCATGAAAGTAGGTAAGGCAGCAGGATATGATAGAGTTTCACTCGAAATGCTAAGGGCTGGGGAGGACGTGGTGGCAGGCCTGCTGTACACCTTGTTTAATTTATGTTGGGAACTAAAACGGGTACCGGAAGACTGGTGCAAAGCCGTGATAGTCCCAATATATAAGGGAAAAGGGTCACAGCAGGACTGTAAAAACTACCGTGGTATCAGCCTTCTTATCATTGTGGGAAAACTGTATGCTAAGGTACTAATTGAAAGAGTTATGAAAGAAACTGATGAAAAAATTTGGGATGTGCAAGCGGGATTTAGAAAGGGAATGGGGTGTATAGATCAAGTCTTTTCCATGCGCATGATCGCGGAGAAGTTTTTGGCGAAAAACCAAAAAGTTTTTTGTGCGTTCATGGACTTGAAAAAGGCTTATGACAGAGTGGACAGGGATGTATTATGGCAAACGCTGAACGCATTTAGGTTGAGCGCTGGTTTGATACAGGCATTAAAGTCTCTGTATAGGGACTCGAGTGCTTGTGTTAGAATCAACGGGGTCTACTCGGACTTGTTTGGCATCCATAAAGGTGTCAGACAGGGCTGCGTAGCTTCCCCGTGGCTGTCCAACCTATTTATGGACAGCCGTTTGGAAAATTTGAAAGTTGAAGAATGCGGGTTAAGAATGGGTGAGGTAACCATCAAATGCCTTTTGTACGCCGATGATCAAGTCATACTTGCGTCGTCGGCGGCCGAGTTGCAAATGATGGTTACATTAATGAACAGGTCATTAAAAGAAAGGGGAATGAAAGTGAACGCAAGTAAGACGAAAGTGATGGTTTTTGAAAGAGATGAAAGCAAAACGGTATGTGAAATAAGAATAGAAGGAGAGTTAATTGAGCAAGTGGATGAGTTCGTATATTTGGGATGTGTATTCAGCAGGGATGGGAGATATGATAAGGATATTGAACGACGAGTGAATGCAGGAAATAAAGTAAATGGGGCTCTACACTCTATTGTGAAAAGTCAGAATGTGTCAAAAAAGGCACGTATGGCAATTCACAGTGCTGTATTAGTCCCTACTTTAACATATGGTAGTGAAAGTTGGGTGTGGCAGAAGAAGCACGAGAGTAGAATAAATGCAGTAGAAATGCGGTCGCTAAGGAGTATGTTAGGGCTGAATCTGAGTGACAGGGTGAGAAACTGTGTGATAAAAGAAGAGTGTGGTTTGCAAGATGATGCGGTGACCAAGATTAAGAAAGGAATGCTTCGGTGGTTTGGTCATGTAGAAAGAATGAATGCGGAAAGACTGACAAAGCAAATATATGTTGCAGAAGTGAATGGAAGAGTCGGAAAGGGACGTCCTAGGCGGAAGTTTGTCGACCAAATTGGCAATATACTAAAAATGGGCCAAATTAAGAGTACCCTTAACCGACGAGCATGTATGCGTAGGTATATGGATGTGGAAGAGGCGAGAAAGGTATGTCAGGATCGTGCTAAATGGAAGTCTGTAGTCTCTGCCTACCCCTCTGGGTGACAGGCGTGAGTGTTTATGTTATGTTATGTTATAATAATAGGCTATGAAGCATACTGTTGTACTGCGTATTTACTTTAAAGTTAAGAAAAATTTATATACGAAATATTTATTTGAGACGGAACCAGCTTGGAACTGCCGATCGCATTACCGGAAGTCTTGCACCCCTGTTACCGGTTCGAATATTTTACATCTTATATATGAGATTCTTATGCCGCACTATTTTACAACTAATATAATATGAGATTCTTATGCCGCCATTTGTTAAAGACAAAAAACATTCTAGCATTTCCTATAGTTAATTCACGATATCCATGGAGCAAAATACTTTAATTTTTCTTACATCATAAGGTGGCTATTAGATCTATTAAATAAGAACATGTGGTCGCTTACTGGTCAAAATTCAACAGTAATTCTCTTTATTTAAAAGAAATTGCTGCATTAAATCTCCACTCAAAATTATGTGTAAATTGTGCAGATTTCGATTAAGATTAACAGATTCTGTTTCAGTGTATTTAAGTAAATTCTCGTGAATGAATTCGATAATGTTCCTTACGCTTTGATTTGGTGAAATGTAAATAGCAACCATTACAATTACTTGTCCATTTTCTGCTTCACATGTCGCTGTACAAATTTCTCTGATAGATGACTGATTAAAAATCAGCTTTTCTCCATTCCAATCGCGTTTAGCTTTTTGCAATTTCCAATTTTTGTGAGAGCGTTCGGAAGCGCTTTGTTTGCTTGCTTCATAACTTCACTAAGTTCGTAAAATTTTAATTCATTCTACGTTTTATTTGCTTTCAAATCGGAGTTACTTTAACTGATTGTAATTGTCCTAAATCATCACATAATATTACATCTAAGTTACCAAAGTTACTAGTGATTTGTTTAAGACATCGGTGGATTTGCTCTAGCAGTTCTGCACCAATCATATTGACCTCATCGATAATTGATTAATTAAAACTACTTTTACGGATTTTATCGCGTTTATTTTTACTTTTTATTTTTAATTCCCGACGTTTCGGGCGCTTTCCAGCACCCATGGTCACGGGGGACTGAGATGACTGACGTCCCGATGTCATTGTTAAACCCGGAGTACCTTCAGCTTTTTTAATTATTGTTTATGGTCCGATCTATGCAAAATGAACTGACTATGTCCTGAGGTCTTGCAGTGGTATGCTTGGGTTTAGTTTTAATTTTATTGATTATAGGATCCCAAGCAGGTGGTAGTACCCAGCCTCCTTCTCTATTAAAATTAGGATGTTTTTTAATTTCTGCTGATGTGAAGCATCAACGTTCCGGGAAGTCTGCAGTTTGTGATCATATCCTAGACGGCCCCAACCATTACATCAGATTTGATAGACCACAAATCCTCGCGAAAGAACACCGATTCCTACCAAGGATGATACGTGAGGCTAGTGAGGCTAGTAAAAATAAACGCGATAAAATCCGTAAAAGTAGTTTTAATCATGTGCAATGTTCGCGTAAATATAAGAAATCATTATCTCATCGATAATTATCACTCTGCCATACTTAAACAATAATAAATATTGAAGTGCAACTAAAATATTTTAAAAAAGATATTTTCACAGCAGTGTGACCAGTTGTCCCATAGAGCTGCTTTTCCTGTTGATACACAAATTATGTAAGAATTACAGTATCCATCGTTGTCAGAAAACTGACTATATATTTCCATCATCAATTTTATATAACGAAGGTTCTTCCGCATCTAGCTGGTCCAGTTAGTAAAAATTGTAGAGGATTACATGCGTTTGTTGCGCTCTTTATTTTGCATTAGTTATCCTCCTAGCTTCACAAAAATCCGCATTAGATATAATATTTTCTTTTTTTAGCAATAGCACCAAGTCTATTTAAAGTAGCCAATCAAAGGTCATTATTTATTTCAGAATTCGGATTATTGTATCATGAATTCTGTTAACAACATCTTGTACTCCATCTTCATCAATGAGAGATTCCACGCGTCATTGTTTTCTACTACTAATTATTGTATTGTTTTATTTTATGCTAAATTTGATTCAAATTGCTTCCTCCTTTGCTGAATAATTTATTCATGATTATTGTATATAATAATAAATTAAATTTCTGCTGGTATATCCTCTTCGTTTCGAAATGATCAGTACTATGTCACCATATTTTGCTTGTTTTCTCGAAAGTCAGTTGGCATATCATAATTCCACTATCTAGATTCACGCCTCGCAACAAATTTTGCTTTTTTATTTGATGTGTATTTAGATACAAATTTCGCTAATGCAGTTACTTCTAAGTATTCAGGCCTTTTCTCGTACTTATCGAACCAGTATTTTTCCACATATCTGTACGGTCATCATCTCATTCACTTGACTCTTTTAGTTTTTCTTAATCGTTGATATTCAATTGATCACACTATTGGAATATATACGATGTTAGTTGATCATTTTGACATGTGCTCACGTATGAAATACCAAGCATGAATGCACGAAAAGCATCATTTGAAGAACTATCAATCCAAGCCAAGGTGTATAAATACAAGGACTGCTTCGACGCTGAAATTCAATGCGTTTAAGGTAGTGCAGTGCACGACTCTGTATTATCAAAAAAGACTGTATTCCTAAATGTAATTATATTCATTATAACATGAACTAACGGCGTCTTTATCTTTGGTGATATGATTACGTTTATTCAGTTTGCACAACAAATGTTGTAAATCCAACCACCCGACTTCATTAGCACTTGTGATAAATAATACAATTGATTTCCCTAATTGTCATCAAGGCGAATAGATCCTTCTTCCTTCCGAACAAATACCATACAATGATAATAGTAGAATTCGAAACAGAGCTTAAAAAAGCTAGATTACATTCGATGCAATTATGAACGTAGACTTCCGATTGTACTTTTTCTTTGGTAATATTGGGATATTTTCCTGCATGCTTAAATGTCACAGAGATAATCCTTTACTCTTATTTTAAATGTCATATGTAATAAATAAGGAGGCGTTACTCCGGTTCTATTTGATCGTCGTAATTCACTAGTTACCATCATTAAAAGAGTAACGCTAACCCCTTCTCGAAGCTGACGGAATCGACCCAGCTAATTGCCGGAAATGACAATTCTTCAGTATGTTCATCTAATAATTACTTTTGGGCAAGTTATTTCTGCTTGGAGCTATTTTTGAATACAAATCGTCATTGCACATTACTGTTTGTTGTTGTCAAATAAATACTCTCTCTCTTCTTTTGGTATATTTAAGTTAGCTCATTTTTAATATTTCCGACAAGTAATCCACTACAACTGTTCAATATCACTAATATAAGAGTTAAAAACTAAAACAACACGCATTGGCCACGACCTGTGATAATCCTGATAATTATTTTATTTTATCATGGTAATCACGATCATAATACTAGGATAAAGCTATTAAATTATTGTTTCATATGTTCTTGACACGAGTGCAAATATCCATGTCAATCAGTCGTCTACAAGTTGGTGAAAGTTACATTAAAAGATTCCGTTTGATCGACAGATACACGCAAAGCTCATAAAAGCGAGTCAAAAAACATATCATCTATAGTAATATTATACGTCCTATAAAGTGGTGTATTCACCAAGTATTGCAACAACTCTTTAATTATTTGTTTCTTCTCTAAGCCGTACACATAACTAGTTTCGTTGGGCGAAATCAATTTTTCCGACAGTGGATCTAATGGACAATCAAGCAAATTTTCAGGAATGACTGAATATTTAAAATCGTTGTGTACATCCATGTTAAGTATAGATTGTACCTGGATGTTGGAACGACAGTTATAACAAAACTGCAATGGGATTTTTGTCGATGTGCGAAAGAAATATCCTTACAAACTCCATACTTTCATCGTTTAAGTTTTTCAAGTCATTTTGAAACCACAATCGATCGCAAATCCGTTCTGAATAAACTGTTTATCTAATCGCATTTGAGCACTGCAGTCTCGTGCCCAAGAACTGTAAATTGCTGACGATCTGACGCATTCATAATAAACCCATATACATAGGTGATCCGGCAATATGAGAATTATGAAACATAGTACTTATTCTTTGTTACAAATGGTAGATTAGCGTGCGAAGGCCCCGGAAATTGTGAGTAGTTTCCTCTCACGATATCTTCTTAAACGTTCCCTGGATAATTCTTTCCGTCATTGGGATTTTTCTTCTTCAATTAGTTGTTTTCTTATATTTTTCATTTTAGATTCACTAAGTTTCCTTTTACGAAATTTTCCCATGCGTGCATTAACCAGTTCCCTTTTTCATACCATTCATCGGTGGATTTTTTTAAATACAATAATGGTGACAAACGAGCACATAGTTCACCTGACGGTAAGTGGATGCTGTGGCCCATAGACATCTACATTATCCTCGATTAAGAATCAAAACGAGGATGCGTTGTCACCCCTGCGGACTAAGATGGAATGCCTCGTTTTCAGTAATTCAAATTCAAATTTTATTGCTAGAATGTAGTACATAATAATATGATGTTATTAGTCATTAACGAGACCTTACATTCTACCATGATAATAGCGTGCAATATATTTCCAGTTCCTAAACAAAAAAATTAGTACAATTTAAATAAAGTATCAAATACTAACGCGCAGTAAATACACTGATAAACATACATAATATTTTTTTAGTTTTAAATAATTCTGTAGTTTAGAGTCTGGAGTCTGAGCCTACCTCTCCCTGATCTTCATGGGTAAGGGCTTAGAGAATACCGGGTTTATTTAAACGTAACTATTGGAGCATCGTTCCAACAGTTATACACTTCTACAAACACCTTGTTGAACCGAGTAACCCCGATTCAGCGTCACGAACCCGAAAGTGTCGGTTTACTTTCTTTCACTGTTCAGAAAGAACGCGCCTAAAGAAGTTTTCACCTCAAAAAGAAACTTGAATTATGACAAAACTCACGCTTATTTAATAAGACTGTTAGTAATTATTTGTTGGCAACATTTTAAAATCATCAAAATCTCAACTCTACGTAACTGTTTGACCACAGACTATTAAGTGTTTGACATTGACCTTGGAGTAATAGCATACATAATATAGTTGTACTTACTCTGAGCCTATAAACGTAAACAATGCATGTTTTATATTTAATATGTGTTATAAATTATAAGTTATAACTTATAAAACATATTATACATAGTATTAGCTTTCTGCATTCTATGCTAAATCTGACACACCTCTTTTCGCGCGATACTAAGCATATTAAAAAGAGTACAAAGTGTTGCCTTCACATATTAATATAAAAGTTTAAATGAGTATATTTAAATCTGAACTTACATTACTCAGTTCCACTGTTGAGGAGGTCGTCCCATTGTATTGTTGCTGTGGTGCACATATGGGTCGATTAGCTTCAGCAATGGGCATTTGTGTTGGTGGAACATTTGATAAATTACTAGGTCTACACACGGGATTATTTAAACTCGGAGCAGAGTTACCCCAAGAATTGGAACCAGTTTGACAAACATTGGGGCGGGGTCCAAGCCCTCTTACACCAGGGAGTACGTATGGACCAATCGCAGCGCTATTTTGTATGGAATTAAGACTGTTAAATTGCGGACCATTAGGTCTAAGAATAGTACAACTGGGTCGCGGTGTGGGACCAGAAAACCTCGTCAAGGGTTTATTTACTGGAAGATTCATAGAAGATGGGCCAGCGAATCGCGGTGTTGAACTATTCTGAGATGGGTTGAGTCCCGGGATGTTGAATTGTGGATAAACATTTCTTGGTCCTGCAAGAACGGATATGTTTGCGGTATTTCTTTGTGGATTTGTGATGTGGTTGTTTGAAGCCCAGTTACCACCAACAGAATGCACTGAAGCTGACTTTGAACCTGCTGAGACTGGATATTGCGGTTGAAATTGTTGTGTACAATTATTTTCTGGTCTGATAATCGTTTGCTTATTTTCACCAGTTTGGTCACTTGGTACAAACTGGGAAATATTGACCTCATTGTTTGTATTATGTGATTTGTTAGAATCCATTTCCTTTTCTAGAGAATTACTATTTAAATCCGTATTTATAGTCATTATACTGTCTGTATTTTCACTGTTGGATGTGTATCTTAAATTTATCGTATTATCTCTGATGTCTTTAAAGATCGATTGATTAACAGATGATATTTTCCCATTAAGATGTCTTTCGTACTGTTTAACGATATCTCTTAACGGTTTCCCCCGTTCGCCCATACCAGGGCCAATGTTCACGAGGCCTTTAGGAAGTATCATCTCATTGTTTGGACACTTGTACATTGATACTTTAAGAACTTGTCCATAGAATATCTGTCCATTTAGCATAGATACAGCCTGTAAGAAAAGGTGTTTTTAGAAAGTAATAAAACTGTTAATCTATAAGACATTTCAGTTTAGAGCAATAACATCTATCTTTTGATCTAGTGTTTTGATCGCGACCCTGACTAATAATATGTAGACATATTAGTCGAGATCGCGATGAGATAAACGTAATATAACAGTTAAAAAAATGTTAAAAAATTAATGATACGCAAATACAGAAAGTCCGAAAGGAATAGCGACGTTTTGTAATTACGTTATGAAGAGCTCCGGAAGTCAATTTGATAGTAATAAAACTGCGGATGCCAACTTGCTTGCCTAGCGGTAGGAATGAGGTGAAGGACACTACCAGTTGTCATGTAAGGAGCGAAGCACTGTAGATTGTACAAACACGTGTTAAGAAAAAATGATGTCGTGAATGCTCTAAGTCACGTCAAAAGTTCACGTCGTTTTTTATTTCTTTTTAATTTTAGGCGATTTACGTTTACTTTGTGAGGAATGTAGTCCACGCAGTGTAAACAGAATACTTTAGAAATTGGTTACTGTCACCGATTGTGCGGACAATATTAGTAAAAGGGGTCCGTAATAATGACGTCAGTTCATATCCCATCACAAATATTTTTAAGATAAAAGAAGAATTAAACATGACAAGAAAGTCTAATATTTAATCACTTATTTAGAGATAATACATATACAATTATCTAGAGATAATACACATACAATTATATAGAGATAATACATATACGATTATCTAGAGATTATACATACACGATTATCTAGAGATAATACATATACTATTATCTAGACATAATACATATACAATTATTTAGAGATATAACATATACAATTATCTAGAGATAATAAACATACAATTATCTAGAGATAATACATATAAACTTACCTGAACTGCTTCCAATGGATGATTATACATAACTTTTGCATACTTGTTAGTGGCTGATATCACAGTACAGATAACCACATGACCAGCAAGCTCGAGAACCTCTTTTAGCTCTGATTTGTCACATCTGAACTGTCGAGAAAATAAATTTCTAATAAAAATTATTATTTAAATATATGTATATGTTTGTATACATATTAGAATAAGTCATAATTTTAGACTGCCTCGTTAGTCTAGTCGTCGTAATCACGACAACCGATCATGTGGTCTCATATTCATATAATATTTGATAGATTTGATTGTCCCATCCTAGGGCACTGGATGCGTATGCACTTGCATGTGCCTGGTGTCATGGGGTGCCAAAAATAAAAATAAAATAATTGTTATGAAAATTGTACGTGTAATAATTTAAGACTAACATAGGTTAAGCTAATTTACTAACATATTATGGACTATATGTGGGTCTGAAATAAATTTATTATTATATTCGAATCCCGGATCGGGAAAGTCAGTTATTAAGTTTTTCTGTCAAGAAGTTCACAGTAGCAGCCCAAAGTCAGGAAGTTAGCTGCGTTTCATCCCAGTGTCTAAGAAGGCAAGTGAAGCCGTTGCACGTGCGCCTGATCTCTCTCCGTTTGTGACGGATTATCATCCTACATTAGACTATGAGAGGGAATAGAGAGTGCACATGTGCTTGCCTACACACTTATGTAATCCAGTCCTGCGCATGTGGCTACTCTGTGTTCTAACTGGCCGCCGTGAACGAAATTCGGTCTGGAGGACATTATTTCATGCAATAAGTTATTAGAGATAATAGATGGATTACTTTGTTTTTATTTTTTTTTCAAATAGAAATATAAATCACATTATATACTACAGATTAGTCAACAATTTTCAAAGTTATACATACTGACAAACGGACAGGAAACAGTACTAGTATTTGACAGCAGAACTCTATAAAATTAAAGCTTTATTTTCTATAATAGCGGAATAAACCTAAATTACGCTATGAAAAATAGATGTTACTACTTACATTGGAAACATGGACCCATTTTTCAATTGGTGGTGTAATTCCCAACGATTCTAAATATTCTGGTTTAAGGCCACACATTCCACTTGGATCAGGTCCCCATATGTCCAAATCTGGTTTCCAAATTGGGGAGACTGATGAGTTTCTGTCTCTGTTTAAAATTAGTAATATGTTCAAAAAGCCCTCTATATAAAATAACTAGATAAAGACCTTAATCATTAAAATTGACGACAATGTAAGAAATGATTTTCGTAGCTCTCTCTCCCTATATTGAATGACAATTAAAATAGATAGGTATAGAAATAATAAATAATAATTTAAGTGAGTGATAATCGACGATTATAAGACCAAGCAAGGCTGACTAGTTAAATTATGGAGTGTAGAAGTAAGGAGTACAGACTATGTATTAAAAAGTGTCAATAGAAAACCGTTAAATAAGGGTGGCGTCACTATAACTACGGGCAAAATTTTAAAGAACGTGCCGAAAAATATTAGTGGGATAATCGACTTTTTCGAGGTTTTATTTACTAAATAAAATTATTTTAGATTTTAGAGCTACTGAGCATTTTAGCAGCACACTTCAAACCGTCGACAACTGCTAAATGAACTATTTCATCCCAGTAGCTACTCCAGCGCTGTGGTGGAGAGGTTTTGAACTTTTATTTACCGCTTACAGATGGACACTTTTTCAACTGTTCTACAATGGGAGTTGGTACTCCTTACTTCTACACTACATAAGTTAAATGCTTTAACTAAGTTTTTTTTTTTCAGGAATAAATATGACTCGTTATCATTACTATACAGCCTATTCAAAGACCGCTGATCACAGAGCCACGCCCATGGATTGTCTCATAGAGGAATATTTGCCATAGCCACCACGCTTGGCAGGCGTATTTTCAACCACAATTTTTAATATTTTTAGCTGTGATTAGGAAGATGTTGCCACCCATCTCCTGGTTTGTTTCCCTCTGTCGGCTCTTACGATATCCACGGGTCGATTTCGGGTATTGAATACCCTTACACCGCCACTACATCGTATATACGAATTTTTATGATATCTTATTTTTGAAAGCTATCAACTGTGTTGATAATGATATTATAATTCCACCAGCAACTTTCTTCTTTTTTTATAGAAGAATGGTGACAAACGAGCACACGGTCTACCTGATGGTAAGTGGCCCAAAACTATCAACATTTATCCTTAATTAACACTCAAAATGCAGTTACGTTGTTACCTCGGAGGACTAAGGTTAATTTACACACATGTAAAATTCATCATCAGTCTGGCGATCAATTGACGTCGACAGTAACAGTCATCTCATATAGTTCCTGCCCGTTACCAGTTAAGGTATTTTACGTGACATAAATGTGGTGATTATACCGCCATCTGTCGGTAGCCATAAGATCTTTGTAGCATAGCGGATAGTTGCCCCTGAGGACACCCATTTGACGAAATATGGTGCTAGTACGCTTATGCTATCGCCACATAGCAATCAAATAGCCTATGCCCTAGTAACACATGCGAAACAATTGAAGAGTATACTGGACTGGAATCCAGTGTCAGAGATACAGGATTATAAATGTCTATCCATTACAACCCATAAAAGCCCACTGATGAACATAGACCTCCTTGCGCCCTCCTTTCTGCCATACGCCCTCCTTTCCGCCAAGGAGGGTCGCGTTCGTATACGACTTAGAGATCTCTCGTCAGATCGGTAAGCCAATCCATAAAGGCGGTGATTAGTGGGTAAAAGTCTCCACATAACCACGCAGCCGGCTGCGTGGTATGCTATGCTATGAGCATTCACCGCCTTTCCGGAGGGTTGCCCATATTTGCTTCCACCTTCCCATTGATTGGAAGATCCTCCATGAGGAGGACACTGCCAGTTGGAACACTTTACAGACATGATGACAACTGCAATTTTTTGAAGTGAAAACTTCTTTAGCATCTTTGTAATTTGAAACTGGATGAAACAAAAAAGCGACAGTAAAAAGAGACAGACACATAAATTCATAAGGTTTAACGTGGGAGGAAATGAGATAGGAAGCATTTTAGATTATAGCTCAATGTTCGCGAGAAAAAAGTCGTAAACGCCTGAAACGGCCTGTGATACGAAGGTATCGTGCTCGTGTGCCTATGGATTAAACAAGCAGCGAAAAACGACCAAGACTCAACTTGTCAACTGTGTCTAATATATAATTAAAAGGGTTGTTACATTTATATACTATAAAACTATATTTTCTTATATTTTATACCGAACTTGTAGTTTAAATTATAATATTAAATAAGTGATTTAAAGTATTTGTATTTTATATTTCATTTCATTCGAAGGTTTCACTTCTGACGCGTGCGAGCTGTACGCATGTTTCCTGTTATTTTTCCTGTTTCAGTTTCTCTCTGTGACCTCTTACGATACCTACGGGACGATATCGGGTAGTGATAATTCTACCCCATATTCATACCCCATATGTTTACTTTACAATCTCTGGGAAAAATTAATTGTATCAATCTAAAATTGTGTTTTATTCCATCGCGAGATCTGAAACGGTTCTACATATAAGTGTATACAGACAGATATTTCATTACCTTTTAACTAGCAGCAAAGTTTTTTCTGTGTCACCATCACTGTCAGAGTCATCAGGAACTATTAAAAAATAGTACAAGTATTTTAAAAAAACAAATTAATTCAGCCAGAATTTAAAGTGTATTCTACGAGTATAAGAGGTAATTACAGAAATAGCTAGAAAATTTTTATGAAAAAGAAATAGAAGTTACATAGAAAATGTAAAGATTGTAGAAGAAAATATGAAAAATAAAAATTCCTATATAATAAAATAATCTATAGCAAATGAACAACTAAGAATCACTGAAATTATTGTATTAGTGTTCCATTTTGTTCATTTTTTTTCTTCAAAACTAAAATACCTTAAACTACTTGGCGGCAGGACTTTTTTTATAGAACGGGGGGCCAAACGAGCATACGGTTCACCTGATATTAAGTGACTACCGCCGCCCATCAACATCTGCAACTCCAGGGGAACTGCAGGTGCGTTGCCGGCCCTTTAGAAAGGAGCTAGGTCGTATCGGTCCGGAAAAATCGCCGGTGGTGAACTATTCCACATAGTGGTCGTACGAGGAAGAAAACTCCTAGTACAATCTACAGTACTTTTTCTGCATAGGTGGAGTCTGCCAGGGTAAAATTCGCAATTTGACCTATTTATGCCGCCAGTAAGTAAGTCCTGACTGATGAGACTAAACTATACTATAGAGAGCCTGGCTGGCTTTTTAAACAGGGTTATTTTCAATGACTAACCAAATTTAATAAATAAGTTCAAAATATTAATACTGATATACATACAATACACTTTATACAGTTTTTAAATATTTATTTATAATTTATTTAAAATTAAGTTATTTATAATATTATTTCTACATTTCTACACAATCGATTTACCTACTATTTACTGATGATTTCTTAATGACACACTTGGCACTAAGTTAATAACTACGAAACACGAAATACGATTCCAATTTTGCCCTCATAATTTAAACGGTCTTAGGACAGACATAATAAATAAAAATTAATAAAAAGTTACATTTTCAACGACGTAACCAATGAAGACAGTCATTAAGGCGCATTTAAAAAATTGGAATCAAGTGTTTACAACTATTAACAATTTAGATTACCCATTTACAACAAGGAACTATTTACATTTTGGTGCTGGCCCAGGAGTTTCTCTCGATCACTCGATCACCGCGTTTTCGACAGCCGGGCTTAATACTGAATGACCACCTTGAGCGGTGAAATGAGCTTAAAGTTTTATATCTACATATTATATGTATATGTAATTTTAAAAATAACATACTTAAGATATAGAAATTACTGCAATAATTTAATTAAAAAGCTGAAAAGAAGATATGAAAGAGAACAACTTGCTAAATCAGTTTCAAATAATAAGCTACTCTGGAAAAATATAAAAAATATAACAAACTCGAACCAATCGAAAAACCAAAACACAGAATTATTAAATACTAAACCCACCCCT